AGAAAAAAAAATTCTGAGCCAGCCCTGGCTTCTTTCTGCCTCCTCTTCCATAATGGTCCCTGAGTCATGGGTGGGTGAGGTTCCATATAGGAGTCCCATCCTACACTCTACAGTCTCTTATTCTCCAAAACTTGGCCAGTTGAGGCCTTCTGTGTGTATCACACGCTGATGTACATGGAAGCCTCACTGGTGATAGTTAAGGGGTGCATTAGCCCTCTCTCTGCCCCTTATTCAGTTATGTTCCATGAAATTTTAAAAGCTCAATAAAAATAAAAATAAAACAACCCAACCAGAAATGGGAAAAAAATTCTGGTTTTTTTTTTTTTAGTAGGTCATCCTGCAGAGAATAAGAGTCTGCAGAGTTCAGGTCCTTGGACAGGACTATATTAAAATCCACTCACCCAGGGCTCAGGGATCATTGCAGAAGAGGATAATGAAGGATTGTAAGAGCCAGGGAGAAGGTGCATGATTACACGGAAATAGTCCTTACAGGTCCCTGGGACTCTTATACAAACCTACAGCAATGGTGTGAGCATGCACAAGACCCATGCAAACTTAAGCAGACAAAAACCCAGCACAGAACTGAGGAAATGAATAGCAGGCCCCAATCTTAGTCAAAGAATTATTGGTAGCTGATTATTGCTGGGTGAGGAAGAGCTGATCTTCTTAAAGGGAGGGACTCTAGATAGACTGACTAGATCCCAGTGGATGAACTTGCACTGAGGGACACGTGGGGACACTAACTTGATACGATAGGCCTTAACACGAATGACAGAATGTATGAACTCCAGTGGGGGAAGACTATGGGAGGGTGCCAAAGAGGAAGAGGGTATAAAGATGATTTTCTGTATGAAATACACAACAATTCAATAAAAAAATTAAAAAAAATAGGTCATCCTCAGCTAGAGGTTAGTCTGGGCTAGAGACCCTGTTTCAAAATGCAAAACCAGCTGGGTATGGACATTTAATTTCAGTACTCAGTAGGGAGAGGGTGGTGGAGCTTTGTGAGTTTGAGGCCAGTCTGGTCTACACAGTGAATTCCAGGCTAGCCAAGGCTACATAGTGAGACCCTGTCTCAAAAATAACCACCCCCAGGCACTGGAGAGATGGCTCAGCGGTTAAGAACATTGGTTGTTCTTGCAGAAGACCTGGGTTTGAATCCCAGCACCCACATGGCTGCTAACAACTGTCCATAACTCTAGTCCCAGGGGATCCGACAGCCTCTTCTGACCTCCGCAGGCATTGCACGACACAGGTACACTTACATACATGCAGGCAATACACTCATACACATAAAATAAAAACAATAACTAAAATATTAAAAAAAAATAATAACCACCCCCTCAGTTGGGCGTGGTAGTGCACACCTTTAGTCCCAGCACTTGGGAGGTAGAGGGAGGCAGATCTCTGTTGAGTTTAAGGTCAGCCTGGTCTACAGAGTTCTAGACTAGCTGGGGCTACAGGGAGACCCTGTCTCAAAGAGATAAAAAAAAAAAAAAAAACGAAAAAAACCCCTGTAAGGCCTCATAGCAAAATATTACTGAGAAAGAAATGAAAAGACAACTGTCATCAACATTGAGTACTGGAAAATAATAAAGTAATGTTTAGAGAGCAAACCATTTAGATAGGACCAAAGGCCACAAGAGCTCAAGATCTACACATGGGGAAAAGATTCTATGCAGCTAATTGGACAGAAGGATAGATAACACAACTACTACTCACTAAGTAAAGCCCCTATTGACAAGGGCTTCATCATTTTCTGCAGGAAGGGTAAACTGATACCCTTCTAGGGTAACATTTGGCAGTATATACCAGACCTTAAAGCATGCTGATCTGTCTAACTCAGCAATCCATTCTTAGAAAATCATTCTACAGATATACTCAGAGATATGTTATATATTTACAATACTAGAACTGCCTATAATAGCAAAAACTGGGTAAGTCGCTTAATGTTCCAGGATTAAATGAACAGAGGTACAGTCATGCAATGGAATACTCTACAAGAAGCTTTTATAACACTAACATGTAGATGTGTCTCCCATATGCTGTTAGATGAAATAAATTTGTCAATGAACATGTGTAGGATTATCTTATTGGTACTTGTGAGTCAAATCCTATCCCTTCCACTTCTGTGTGACATTTTAACCTGTAAGGTTCAGTTTCACCCATCTGTAAATGGGAACTCCATAATCCTCCCTTCAGAGTGATGTTAGGAGACAGCAGACAAACAGGGAGCCGTACATTTCTTCGTCCTAGGCAGACTCAATGAATCTGAATGCCTTCCCCTCCCTCCAAGCCCGTATGGCTTGGTCTGACAGTTGGGGGTAGTTGGAAATCCAGTACTTAGGGTAGGCCTTGGGGTATACCTGGGGTCCTGGTCGAAGATAAACTGTGTTCCTTGACCATGGTGTACATCCCAGTCCACGATAAGAACCCTGTAAGTGGGCAGAGAGAATATTAATGTATCTCTCAACTCTCACCAATGAAGCTTCATCATATAACAGATGGTGAATAACAAAGAAAGCCACAATTGGCCAAAATGTAGAGAATAAGGAGACTGGAGAGTACATGTCCTTGGACAGGACTCCTATATTAAACCTCCACCACACAGCGCTCAGGGTTCATTGTAGAAGAGGGGGCAGAGAGACTGTAAGAGCCCAGGGGTGGTGGATGACCACAAGGAAATAGTTTTCTAAGTGGCCGTGAATGTGCTCATATGAACTTATAGCAATGGTGACAACATGCACCAGACCCATGCAAACTCAAATCGTACAAAAACCCAGCATAGAGGGGGCTGGAGAGATGGCACACTGGCGGCTCTTGCAGAGGACCTGGGTTTGGTTCCCAGCACCCATATGGTAGCTAACAATAATCTGTAACTCCAGTTCCAGGAGATCTAATACCCTCTTCTGACCTCCACGGGCATGGCATGACATGTGTGGGTGCACTTACATACATGTAGGCAATACACTCATACACATAAATTTTTTTTTGCCTTTTTGAGACAGGGTCTCCTTGTAGCCCCAGCTGTCCTGGAACTCACTATGTAGACCAGGCTGGCCTTGAACTCACAAAGATCCACCTGTCTCTGCCTCCCAAGTGCTGGGATTAAAGGCATGCACCACCACGGCCGGCCATCATACACATAAAATAAAAATATAAAATATTTTTAAAAAAATCAGCATGGAAGTAGGGAAATGGTAAGAAACCTCAACCTTAGCTGAGGAACTATTGGCAACTGATCACTGCTGGGTGAGGGAGAGCTGGTCTTCTTTAAGAGTGATGTTGGATAAGTTGACCAGGCTCCAGTGGATGGAATTACACCGATGGACATTTGGAGACACAAACTTGACAAGGTAGGCCTTAACATATATGACAGAATGCATGAAACCTGGCAGGGGGGGCTATAGGGGGTACAGATAGAGGTGTCTAAATATGATTAAGATATATTATATGAAATACACAAAATTCAGTAAAAACATTTAAAAAGAACCTTGTGAGCAGGGAGAGAGGGACTCTGTGTAAGGGGAGTATGTGGAAAATGGAGGAATAGTTCAGACAAGGGTACCCCCATGCCATGCCACCCCTATCACATCTGCCATTTGCTGCTGACCTCTGAATGTGGTGCTTCTTTTGAGCATAGCGGGCAGCCACAGCCACGTGGTTGAACATGCAATACCCATCCATTAGACTGTGCTGGGCATGGTGTCCAGGAGGCCTGAGCAGAGCAGGGAAGATTACAGATTTCAGAGTCTATCTCTACAGAGAAGGAGACTCTTTTCAATTCTTCCATTGTAGATGCTGCAACTCTGCCAGGAACTGAGTATCTGTGGCTGTTGAAACTTCACCACCCTCAATCTATACTCTCTCATTAAAGGAGATTTGAATATGATCATTAAAGGTACCCATGCACCCATTTGGCATAGTAACCCATGCCTATAATCTCAGCACTCAAGATGAAGCAGAAGTATGTCCTAGTTCAAGTGATACTGTCTCAAAAAAATAGAAAATGGGGCTGGGGAGATGACTCAGCAGTTAAGACCACTTGCTGCTCTTGCAGAGGATCCAGGTTTGGTTCCCAGCACCCACAACTGTCTGTAACTCCAGTTTCAGGGGATCTGTCGCCATCTTCTGGCTTCCAAAGGCATTTCACACATGTGGTACATGTATATTCATGCAGGCAAAACACTCATTACACATAAAATAAAATCTTAAAATAAAATGAGCCAGGCATGGTAGGGCATGCCTTTAATGCTAGCACTCACTAGGGAGACGGGCAGGTGGATCTCTGTGAGTTCAGGGCCAGCCTGGTTTACATAGTGAGTTCCAGGTCAGCTGGGGCTACAGGGAGACCCTGTCTCAAAAAAGATACCCGCCCTCAAAAAAGAAAGGAAAACAAAAGAGAAAATGAAGTCAGGTATGGAGGCACATCACTTTAGTCCCAGCACTTGGGAGGTAGAGGCAGACAGGTCTCTGTGAGATTGAGGCTGGTCTGGTTTCCATAGTAAGTTCTAGGCCAGCTGGGGACTACAGAGAGACCTGCCTCAAAAAAAAAACAAAACAAAACAACAACAACAAAAAGAAAATGAAATTATCCACATATATCTTCTCATTATGCTGCATGGGCTTAGCCTAAACTTATGTTACAAAAAGGTGACATGTTTAAAAATGTACCACAGTTAACTTGCTAGTGTTTGTTTGAAGCAACAAATGATTAAGGAGAACAAAAATGCCCTCAAGTGATTAACTTAAAAGTATATTTGTACAGTGGCATCTCATTCAGCTCTAACCTTCTAACCTGTATACTGTTAACAAAAGCTTTCCAAGACATCCAAGGAAAAAAAAAGTATGGTGTGGAAGAGAGTACTTCTTGTGCTTACTACCATTAGTGGTTAAAAAGGGAGTGAGGAGGACAAAAGCTATCTTCCACATTTTATCAATTCTTGGAAGTCAGACAAGATGTTCTATGACTTTATATGGTAACAACAAAACAGAAAATGCTACTGACTAAATTCTAAATTCTGAGATATCATAGTTTGTTAGCTGCATCTGGATTTCAAGATGTTCCAGATAGGAAAAAATATATACCTGTGAACTAATGGGCTGTCATAATTCCTTGAATAAGATTATTTTTTGAGAGGACACGGGTGCCACTGGTTAAAATGACTACCTCCCAAGAGATAGACAAGGGTGGGAGAGAAGAGAGAGACTTTCTTTTGAGTCAGAGTCTCTATGTGTAGCCCTGGCTGGCCTGGAACTGGCTATGTAGACCAGGATGGTCTTGAACTCACAGACATTTACCTGTCTCTGCCAGGATTAAAGGCAAAGTGTGTCTAAGAGAGAGCCTTTTTATTATATCCCCCATTGTGCCTTTTGACTCAACTATATGAAGATAGTACCTAGGTTAACACATTTGTAGGAAAGACTTTTCTCTTTTGAGAAAGGGTCTCAGTAGTCCAGGATAGTCTCAACTCTACTATATAGCCAAGGTTAGCCTTGAACTCTTCTTGATCCTTTTGCCTCCATATTCCAAGTGCTGAGATTACAGACATATACTGTCCACACACCATTAAGGGGAAAGACTTTTTAAAAATATAAGAAGCCAAATGCTAGAGTCCTACCTGACAACAGCCATGCCATTCCGAATCTCAGCCCCTAGGACTGCATCTACCAGCCTGAGGACAGAGCCTGTGGCCAGGCAGGCGCAGGAATATGAGTTCTGGAGACAGTGGAAATCCAGAGACAAAGAATGAGAGAGAGAGAAAGTACTGTTCTATCTGCTCAGCTTCTTCCTCCCAGGGTGAGTTGGGCATGAATATGGGAGACCCCAGGATGGCTGCCACTCCCGACCTCACAGTTCTCATCCATACCGGATGCAGATAAACTGAATCATAGGTGTCTGCTAGTATACGAAGTTCTCCTTCATTCATGTACTGGGTTGTCTGCATCAGATCAATGTATTCCAGGCTGGGGACAGAGACAGGGAATGGGATTTAGAGACTTGTTCCCTTCCCAGCTACACCTTCCACATACCAGACCTCTGTTCAAATCATGCCTTCCTCACTGCCAACCTAGGGAAACAGGTAGGATATAGGCCGCCTTCCCTATTTCTTCTCTAGCCATCCTACTTCCTGGCTCTAGATATCCTACTTCCAGGCCTTTAGCTACAGTGTTAGAACTGTCAGTTCCTCCCTTCCCCCAGCCCTTTTTTTTGTCGGATTCATCCCTTTTTGCTTCTCAGAGCTTAGCTCAGATAATCTCCATCTGTCAAACCAGCTTTCTGTGCGCCACACTGTGCTGCCTCTTATGCTGGGTTCTTATAGTCCTTAGGACCCTCCTGATCACTCTGGCCAGACATTCATCATCAGTTAACAAACCAGATTATAATAAAAATAGCCCATCACAGGGTCATGTTGCTCTGCCAAACACTTGACACACACATTAGCCCTCCTGAGGAACTTATGTTTCTTTCTTTTCTTTGGGGGAGGGGCTTTGTGAGACAGAGTCTCATGAAGCCCAGGTTGGCCTTGAACTCCTGATTTTCTTGCTTCCACCTCCCAACTGCTGAGATTATAGGAATGTGCCACCACACCTGGCTGGAATTTAGATTTTTAAACAATGATACAAATTCAGAGAGGCTTAGGGACCTGCCCAAGGCTGGTCAGAGAGTCTATGGGATTCTTTCCCAAAGCATTCAATCTGTCCTGGTTAGTCCAAGCTCCCAAGCCTTCACCTGTGAACCAACATCAGCTCTTCCTTCTCAGCAAACCGGGCCTGAAGAGACATGAGAAATAAAGGGCTAAAGCATAGGCCACTGTCAGCTACCTACACACCAACCAGTGTAGGCTTGGGGACTCACCTGAAAGGACACACAACGTTCCAGGAGGCCTTCCAGAATCAGTTGTTCCTTGATGGCAAGGAGCCGCTCAGGGCCTTCAGGGAAGCTACGGAGATAAGAGATACAGTCACATATATGTGCACACACACAGATAAGACATTAAGGATCATGTCTGCTTTTGCCACATCTCCCTATTCACCTTTCCATAGCTGCTTACCCCTTACATGTCACATCAGCCTTGCCTCTTGTCACCTCTGGAGTGTTATCCTTTCTACTACCATTTCTGCCACTAGAACCTCTGGCCTGGGCTACCATATAACGCTCTTTCCAGGCTCCCTATTTAGACCCTCACTCCCCCAAATAAGTCTTCTCTGCACATTAGCAGCCAGATAGTAGTTGATACTCTACTGTTCAAAACCCTCTTGTGGCTCCTACTCCATTCAGAGCAAAAGTTAGTTTCAGAGCTGGAGAGACAGCTCAGCAGTTAAGAGCACTGGCTGCTCTTGCAGAGGACCTGGGTTTGATTCCCAGCATCCAAATGGTGGCTAACAGCTGTCTGTAACTCTAGTTCCAGGAGAATCCAATGCATTCTTCTGACCTTAGAGGTACTGCACTAATACACATGCAGGCAATACACTCATACACATAAAAATAATAATTTTTTTTGTCTTTTTGATACAGGGTCTCCCTGTAGCCCCAGCTGTCCTGGAACTCACTATGTAGACCAGGCTGGCCTTGAACTCACAGAGATCCACCTGCCTCTGCCTCCCAAGTGCTGGGATTAAAGGCATGCGCCACCACACCTGCATATAAATTATTTTTTAAAAAGTTAAGTCTCGGGGGCAGGAGAGATGACTCAGTGGTTAAGAACATTGGCTGGCTAGGCATGGTGGTGCACACCTTTAATCCAAGCACTCAAAATGCAGAGGCAGGTGGCAAGGCCAGCCTGGTCTACATTGTGAGTTACGGGCCAGCTAGGGCTATAGGGAGACCCTGTGTCAAAAAAAAGACAAAGAAAAAGAAAAAAAAAAGAAAAAGAGCACTGGCTGGTCTTGTAGAAGACCTGGGTTTGAATCCGAGCACCCACATGGCAGCTAACAACTGTCCATAACTCCAGTTCCAGGGGATCCGACACCCTCTTCTGTCCTCTGTGGGCATTGCATGACATGGGTGCACTTATATACATGCAGGCAATACACATGGAGTTAGCTACCATGTGGGTGCTGGGATTCAAACCCAGGTCTTCTACAAGAACAACCAGTGTTCTTAACCGCTAAGCAATCTCTCCAGCCCCCCGTTTCTTTTTATTTATTATTTTTATGTGTATGAATGTATTGCCTGCATGTGTGCTATTACACCCATGTCGTGCAATGCCTACAGAGGTCAGGAGAGGGCGTCGGATCCCCTGGAACTGGAGTTATGAACAGTTAGCCACCATGTGGGTGCTGGGAACTGAACCTAGATCCTCTAACAAGAGCAGTGAGTGTTCTCAACTTCTGAGCCATTTCTCCAGTCCATAGAACATTCTTTTCCCAGATAATTCCATGGCTTACTCCCTTACCCACCTTTTCTTTGGTGTTTTTGAGACAGGGTCTCCCTGTAGCCCCAGCTGGCCTAGAACTTGCTATGTAGACCAGGCTGGCCTGGAACTCTGAGATCCGCCTGCCTCTGCCTCCCAAGTGTTGGGACTAAAGGCGTGCGCCACCACACCCCTCCTCCCTTACCCCCTTTATATCTTTGCTCAAGTGTCATAAATGCCTTCCCTTGATGTTTTAACAAAAATAGAAACACTCCTTCCATTGTCCCTCCCGCCTCTGTTCTTCTGGATAGTACCATTCAGACACACTGAATCAACTACTTTTTCTTTATTTCTTTCTCCTCCCTTAAAGGCAGTTGTTTATTATGTTTATTGCTGTAGCCCCAGCTTCTCAACAAATGGTAAATATGACTCCATAAATGAGATCCTTTGACATCATGAGTTAGTTTTAGGTCAGGATAGGGGAGATAGCTTCTCTATTGGTAAACATCAGTGTAATGATTAATAATTTCCTAGCAGGGGCTAGGAAAATATCTAAGCTTGGATGTGAGAAAGGTAGTAACCAGTCAAAGGCCTCTGTGAGTCTCATTGAGTTGTGAAAGTTGGCAGGGGAATCAGCCAAGGGTAAAGACTGGAGGTGATAGGGTGTCTGGCATGCTGGAAGAACAGTAAGGTGACCAATGTGGGCAAAGTGAACTGAAGCAAATGAGGCTCATAGGTCACAGAAGGTGGTGTGGAGCCAAATCACATGGCACCTTAAAAGCCAGGATAAAAAATTCAGACTTTACCTTGAGAGCAATGGTTTGCCCTTGAAGTATTTTAAGAAAGGGGGTGTTAGCCAGGCTTGGAGGTACACACCTTTGGTCCCATCACTAGGGAGGCAGAGGCAGGCAGATCTCTGAGAGTTCAAGGCCGGCCTGGTCTACACAGTGAGCTCCAGACCAGGCTACAGGGAGACCCTGTCTCAAAAAAAGGGAATGTCATCTCATACCTATTTTTTAGGCTTCAATGTAAAGGCTGGAAGCAGAGGACCAGTGAGGTCAGATACTGAATATATTTTGAACAGAGAGTCAAAAGAATTAGCAGATTCCTTTGAAAAGTAGAGCAGATAGGAGGTGGTGGAATCCCATTTGAGAATAAATGTCTCTTCCACAATGAAGGTTCTGGGACCCCTGCATGCTATCTAGTCCAGGGCCCTCTAATAAATACTTTTAGCCAGACATGGTAGCTTATGCTTGTAATCTCAGCACTCTGGAGGCTAAGACAAGAAGATCAAGGAGGGTTTGAGGCCAGTCTAGGGTACATAGTTCCAGCACAGCCTGGGCTAGAGAGTCAGGTCCTGTCTCAAAGACAAAAAACAAAACAAAAAAAGACTCATGAATTCTAGTCATTTGATCTTCATTAAACATCTTATACTTCGGTTTAATGATCTCCCCTCCTACTCACCAATCAGCTCCCTGATAAAGGATTTTTCTGTTTTGCTGACCTTTGTATCACCAATCTTGGCACACAGTAGACCAGCAGACATTCAATAAATGTTTGCTGGCTAAAATAATCCTTTCAAGAATAACCTTCATCTCCCTAAATCATCTGCTTCCAGTCTCCAGGCTGGTATAACAAAAGATTCACTCTTGCTTGCTTGGGAGGAGGGGGGGTGTGAAAATAGTTTAGGGACAATTTCACAGTCCCATCCTCACCTGTCATCCCAGAGGCAGTGGAATTCATTTAGCTGTTCATCAAACACCAATCCAGTGCCAACCAGTACCCTTGACTCGGGGTTCAGATCCTGCGGGGGTGGGGAAGACACAGATGTATTCAAGGCCCCAATCAGAGGGGACACCTCACATTGTTCAGAGTGGGGTTTTGATTGGTAAAGAAGGTCAAACTGCAGTCAGGCTTCTCTCACCAGTCCTTGAAGCCCTTCGATTAGGTCTTCTTCCACTGCTTGGCTGAGCTTCTTCATTTTGCCTTTCTTCTTTACCTCTGCTAGACTGGGGCTAGAGCGGGGTACTGCACCCTTCTTAACACTTCGCTTCTGCCAATCAGAGAGGAGGATCAGAGTCCTACACAAGGCTGGCTGGCTTTCCCTCCCCTCTATCCGAGCCAGTTTGGGGCCTCACCGAGGTGGTGCTGGAGTCCTGAGGAGGCGATTGGGGATTGTGCCTACTCCTTCGCTGCCTGGTGGAGGAATCCTGGCCGGTGGAGGTCATGGCTGAAGAGCTTTCACTCCTGGAGCGGCTCTGGCAAAGGTGGAGTTGGCTACAAGGGGGCTGGAGCGTCCAGAGGGCTCCCACATCCCTTCCTTTCCAGACCCCGCCCCGTATGCTAGACTTCATCCTTTCGCTCTATTCCCCAGTGCCTTCCAAACCCCGCCCCTCAAGGACTCCGTTCCTTTAACAGGATTCTCTCCTCCCCCCGCCCCCGTCTAGCCTTTCCAATAAGCAATGTAACCCCAGGCTGAATTCGGCTCTTTCAAGGCCTGCCCTTTTTCAATCTCGGCAGCATCACTCTACTTCCCACACCACACCCTTTCATATCTCTCAAGATCAACCAGACCGCTTCCCTGCGCCAAGCCAGCCTCTCGGGCCTAACTCCCAGGATAGGATACTCACCCACCCTTTCTGGCCGCGGCCTCGATACCTCCTCAAGGATTCTCTGAACTCCTATCAGGCCGAACGGGTACCTACCCCTCCTTCAGATCCCGCCCCTAGCCCATCTCCTTGGGGGCTGCCTCTGTCAGACCCCACCCCCTTCCCAGAGCCGATCCCTAACGTTTCATCAAGCTTCCCCAGCGAGTTCCAAGCCACCTCCCGCCAGCCTCCACCCTCTTCCCACTGACCAATCCTTCTGGCCCTACTTACTGGGCGCTGCCCCCTTCTCAAACCCCGCCCTTGGCTCGCGCCGCCAAATTCCCAGCGACCTCTGTGGCCGCGGCCGCATGATCCCTTCTTTTCCATTGGGCTAAGCCTCCCAATTTGCCCGCCCACTTCCAGCCCACAGCCTGGATCCTGTCAGGCCGCCGCGCCTCTGGCGCACGCCACGCCACACCTCTCGCGAATGCCACATCTCTCGCGAGCCTAGGAAACCGACCTCACGTGTTAGGTTACGGCATAGTATCATACTGCGTCTGCGCGAAACGCGTCTCCTACTTCGAGATCCGGATCTGGGTTGATTGCTCCCCTCCCCCAACTCCGGCGGCCGTCGTCATGGTTGCCATTTTCGCCATTCTCTGTTCCTGTCCAGTCAGCTTAGAAATTCTGCGGACCCGCGCCAGTTGCACTGCGCAGTGATTCTAATCAAAGCAAAGAAGCTAAGGCATTAAGAAAGGGGCTTCCCGCGCGGCGCTTGGAGATGACCTCGCGCGGGCGGGCAGGTGTCTGGACTGAGCGAATGGTTGATTCTATGTATCGCTGGTGGCGGCCAAAATGTTTGTGATGATGATAACTGTTGAGAATTTTCTGAGTTGATATTCATTACGATGGTTCACAAGAAGCGTTCGCCAAATGTTGGCTATTGACATTCTGCGGCAAAAATTGGTGAGGGTGTGGAAGGAGGGGGCAGGCAGGTAATGATAATGTTAGCAAATTTTAAGTGACAGATATCGCTTCTGAAGCCACACTTATGTGAAATATTATTATGAAGGCTTCTTCGCAGATGACGAAACGGAGAGACTTAGCCATATGCTCTTAGGCAAATCACAGCTCTCTTCAGTTTCTTCATCCGGAATATTGCGATGCTAGTACCAGGGCCAAAATGGACTGGGGGACTGGGGGGTGGTGGGGTGCGTGGAGTTACTCCTGGATGGTAGCTCCATGCCTGCCCTCCCCTCCACTAAATAACCGGATTTACGGCTGCAGTAGAAAACATACCGCGCCATTGGCTGGGTTGGGGAGGGAAAAGAGTTGTCCCTGTGCCTCCCTGCCCAACTACCAGCCCATATCGAAGTATCAGTCCAACAGAAGGCCAGTCCGTCCTACTAATTGACCCCTCTTACCGTTTCCTGTGCTCCTGTAGGCTGAAGCTGGAGCTATAAGCCGAATGGCGCATTGTGCATCAGCGACTAGCAAATTGACAGCCCTACCATCCAGTAGCCAGGCCCTCTGACCCTCTTGAAAATGCCAGTTGTGGCTTCCTTTTCCATTCTTCCTACCTGAGCATGAGTTGCTTTAACCAAAGGCCTTAAAATCTACACCAAAGAAAGCACACAATGATACACAATAAAGAATATTCTGGGGTTGTGATATCTGCAAAGTAATAGATTAAGGATCCTTTTAAAAGTGAAATCTCCCTTATTTTCCTGTTCAATCAGAAGAAATTCGGATACAACAGGGTCAGCAAATTTTATAAAGAGCCAGATAGTAAATAGGCTGTATTTAGTCTCTATGGCATAGTCTTTTTATTTTTCTTGGGAGAGGGTCTTGCTTTGTTCCCAAGCTGTCCTTGAATTCCTGGACTGACAGGATCTTCATGTTTTAGTCTACTGAGTAGCTGGGAGTACAGGTACCATTGTGCCCGGTTAATCTTTCATTTTTTTGTCTTTTTTTTTTTTTTGTCTTTTTTGAGACAGGGTCTCCTTGTAGCCCCAGCTGTCCTGGAATTCACTATGTAGACCAGGCTGGCCTGGAACTCACAAAGATTCGCCTTCCTCTACCTCCCAAGTGCTGGGATTAAAGGCGTGCACTACCACGCCCGGCCCTATCTTTCATTTTTTGAAATACAACCATTTAAAAATGTGAAAACAGCTCACAGTCCAGCTTTTGCTGATATCTGTCAGTCCTTGGTTTCCTTCATCTGGCTGATTTCTTTTTCTTAATATTTATTTATTATTTATTTATTTATATTTTATGTGTATGAGTGTTTTGCCTGCATGTATGTAAGTACACCCGTGTCACATAATGTCCACAGAGGCCAGAAGAGGGCATTGGAACCCCTGGAACTGGAGTTACAGACTGTTGTTACTGTCATATGGGTGCCAGGAATGAACCTGGGTCCTCTACAAGAGCAGCCAGTGTTTTTAACCACTGAGCCATCTCTCCAGTCCCTCCCATGACTGATTTCTTTTACAGAATGAAAGCAAGGGTTTCATTTCTCCTTGAGAGGAATTCCTTTTGTGGAGGTGTGAAGACAGGGATTCATGGACAGGGTCAGGTCACTTCTGCTATTCCTTTATTGATTCAAATAAATGTTACTAGACAGAAAAAGTACAGGCAATCTTATAGTATTGTTATTTTACTAAATCTAATGGGCTTCTATTCAGGAAGCCAAGACCATGGTTTCTAGAGTTCTAGACTATGGGTTCCTATAGAAGTCCAAGATGATGTTTCTCTTTTGTGTGTGTGTGTGGGCGTGCGCCTGTGGAGGCCAGAGGTCAACAGGTCAACATTGGGTATCTTCCTTAATTGCTCTTCACTTTATTTTTTTTAAGTATTTTATTTATTTTTAGGGGCTGGAGAGATGGTTCAGCGGTTAAGAGCACTGACTGCTCTTGTAGAAGACCCAGGTTCGATTCCCAGCACCCATATGGTGGCTACAAACCATCCTTAACTCCAGTTCCAAGGAAATCTGAAGCCCTCTTCTGACCTCCACGACATTGCACGACACGGGTGCACTCACATACATGCAGGCAATACACTCATACACACAAAATAAAAATAAATTATTAAAAAATTTTTTTATCTTATGTGTATGAATGTCTTCCCCGCATGTATTTATGTGTACCACATACGTGCCTGGTGTGCGTGGAAGACAGAAGAGGGTATTCCATTTCCTGGATCTGGAGTTAAGGATGGTGTTAGCTGCCATGTGGGTGCTGGGAACTGAGCCCAGGTCCTCTGGAAGAGCATCAAGTGTTTTTAACCACTGAGCCATCTCTTCAGCCCTTCTACCTTATTTTTTAATTGCTTTCCTAGTTTGTGTGTGTGTGTGTGTGTGTGTGTGTGTGTGTGTGTGTGTATGAGTATGGTATATGTGTATGTGGTTTATGCATACATGTGTGCAGGTGCATGCATCTGTGCACATACTTGAATGCCAGAGGAAGATGCTAGGTGTCCTCTTGTATTATTCTCTGCCTTATTTCTTTGAGGCAGGGTTTCCTCCCTAAACCTGGAGCTCATGTCTTTCAGCTAGGCTAGCAGCCAGCAAAGCCCAGTGATCATTCTGTGCCTGTCTCCCCTCCTATCTCCCCATCCCTTCTCCACAACAGTGCTCCTTTCAGGCACTCACGAGACCAGACCAGGCTTGCTTGTGTGAGTGCTGGGATCTGAACTCAGGTCCTCATGGTTTTGTAGCAAGCACTCTTAACCACTGAGCTGTCTCTCCAGCTCCCACCACCTTAGTTCTTGAGACAGGATCTCAACCTGGAGCTCACTGATTGACTGGCCAATAAACCCCAGGAATCATCCTGTCTCTCTCTTCCCAGTGCTGAAATTATAAGTACACACTGCCTAGCTTTTTTAAAAAATTACATCTTTTTTGCTGGGGTGGCACACGCCTTTAATCCCAGCACTCGGGCAGAGGCAGACAGATCTCCAGTTCAAGGCCAGCCTGGTCTACATAGTGAGTTCCAGGCCAGCTGGGACTACAGGGAGACCCTGTCTCAAAAAAAAAAAGACCAAAAAAATTACATCTTTTATTTTGTGTATGCTTGTGTATTTATGTATTGCACATGCAAGAGTGTGCCATATATGGCACACTTGTGGAGGTCAGAGGACAACTTTCGGAAGTTGGTTCTCTCTTACCATGTGGGTCTTGGGGATTGAAATCATATCATCAGCCTTGGTGGCAGGCACCTTTATATCCACTGAGCCATCTTGACTACTCCCTGGATTTAAAAAAATCATGGGTTTTGGGGCTCCAATGAGTTTTCATATTTTTACTGCAAGTATTTTACTGACTGAGCCATCTCCCCAACTCCAGGATGAGGTTTCTTAAGCATTATGACAGGTTCCTCTGCTGTTGAACTACATTCCTAGAAAGAGCTCAAGTGGTCAATTACCCTGTTAACCTAAGTGTTTCTGTATAGGCTCAGTGCTCTTGTTCACAAAGTCGCTAAGATTGCTGTTCATAAGCCAGGTGGCGCATGCCTTTAATCCCAGCACTTGGGAGGCAGAGGCAAGCAGATCTCTGTGAGTTCAAGGCTAGCCTGGTCTACGTAGCCAGTTCCAGGCCAGCTGTGGCTACAGGAAGACCCTGTCTCAAAAAGACGCCCCCCCATGGAAAAGAAAAGACTGCTGTTCATTTAGGAGTGTAGCTCAGTTGGTAGAGTGCTTGCATGTAGCCCTAGGTTTATATACCCATAGTCCCAGCAATTGAGAGATGGAAGCAGAAAGTTCAGAAGTTCAAGGGTTCAAGGTCATCTCAGCTCCATAGTAAGTTGAAGGCCAGTTTGAGCTTATAAAGGAAAGAGTAGTGTTCATACCCAGATTCAGATCAAAGGACTGTTATTAATTATGCTAAATATTGTTATTCTAGCTTCTGTAACAAAACCATGGTCTTAACAAATCATGTTTTTAAAATTTTGTTTTTTATTTATTTTTACTTTTTGTCTCTTTTTTTGAGACGGGGTCTCCCTGTAGCCCTAGCTGTTCTGGAACTCACTATGTAGACCAGGCTGGCTTTGAACTCACAGAGATCTGCATGCTTCTGCCTCCCAAGTGCTGGGATTAAAGGTGTGAGCCATCATGTCTGGCTTATTTATTTATTATTTTATTTATTTATTTATTGTCTTTTTGAGACAGGGTCTCCCTGTAGTCCCAGCTGACTTGAACTCACTATGTAGACCAGGCTAGCCTTGAACTCACAATGATCCTCCTGCCTCTGCCTCTGCTGGGATTAAAGGCATGCACCACCACCACCGGCTTTAATTTATTTATTTATTTTTATGTGTATGAGTGTTTTTTTTCCTGCATGTAAGTATACCACATGCATGCAATGCCCACAGAGATCAGAAGAGGGCATTGGATCCTCTAGAACTGCTGCTGTGTGGGTGCTGGGAACCAAACTTGGGTTCTCTGGAAGAGCAGCAAGTGCTCTTAAAGGTTGAGGCGTCTTCAGCCCCTCCCCCACTTCTTGAGACAAGGTCTCACTATGTAGCTCTGGCTGGGTTAGAACTCTTAAATAGACTAGACTGGCCTCAAACTTGCAGAGATCCACTTACCTTTGCCTTTAGAGTGCTGGGATTAAAGGTGTGTTTGTCATCATATCCAGCCAAATGCTTTTTTTGTGTGTATGTTGAGTCTTTTTGCCTGTATGTATATATGTGAATGTAACCAGGTGTGTACAATAGTTGTGGAGGGTGTCTGATCCCCTGGAACTGGAATGGTGGTGTTGGGAACTGAACTAGCTCTTACAGCCACTGTTCTTAAATCCTGAACCATCTCTCCAGCCCCTAACTTTTTATTTCTCGCTCATACAAAATCCAATTGGAATATTTACTACTAGTTATTCATGGACCCAGATAATTTACCTTTTTGACCTATTCTCTATACTGTGGGAGTTCTTACTATTCAGTTGGTAGATGGGGAGAAAGTGGAAGATTGCATAAGAATTTTTTGTGGACCAGACCTAAAAGTGGCATATGACATTTCTGACCACATGGCACTGGTAAAAATTTTCACATTCGCCTGGCGTGGTGGCGCACGCCTTTAATCCCAGCACTCAGGAGGCAGAGGCAGGTGGATCGCTGTGAGTTTGAGGCCAGCCTGGTCTACATAGTGAGTTCCAAGCCAGCTGGGGCTACAGGGAGACCCTCTCTCAAAAAGACAAAATTTTTTTTTCACATTCATATCTAATGCAAGGAAGAAACTAGAGATGTAGCTCAACAGCAGGGCACTTACCTAGCATGCATGAGGCCCTGGGCGTCATTTGCTGCTTCAAAAATTTGTAAACAACTCACTAATTTTTATATTAATGATATATAGAGGTATGATGTTTAGAGATACTGGGTAAAGTGAATTATAAAAATTCATTTTAGGGACTGGAGATGTAGCAAAGTTGGTAGAGTGCTTGCCTTTCATTCTGGAAGCCCTGAGTTTGATCCCCAGCTCTGCATAAACCAGGTGTGGTGGCAAACACCTATAATTCCAGCACTCCAGATAGGGAGGCAGGAGGACCAAAAGTTCCAGGTCATTCTCACCTGAATAGCTTAAGGCCAGCCTGGGCTACATGAGATCCTGTCTAATAAAATCATTTTTAGATGGCTCAGTGGTTAAGAGCAGGTACTGCTCTTGCAGATGACCTGAGTTTGGTTCCCAGCACCCACATTGGGTGACTCACAAATGCCTGAAACTCCAGCTTCAGACCTTTGTCTAGCCTCTATGGGTACCTATACTCACATACACAGACACATACAGATACAAATAATTTGAAATAATGAAATTAGGCTGGGCGTGGTGGTGTATGTTTTTAGTCCCAGCACTTAGGAGGTCTCTTTAAGATCCCAGCACTTAGGAGATCTCTTTAAGATCAATGAAGGAGAGTGCCCCTCAGACCCCCTCCTGGTCCTCTGAGAAAAAAGCTGCCCTCCGCCTGACTCTGGAAACCCCCTCCGTTGTTCAAACCCTTTCCTGGTACATCTGTTTATAGTTTCTATGGGAATGGTCTGGGGCAGAAGAGGAAGAATGTTCTGTCCCAGGTAAGCTAGCCAATGGCTGTATAGGTTAAATCTCTGGAAATCAGCTCTATATTGTTCAAATCCTTTCCTGGTTATTCTGTGTATGGTTTCTATTGAAATCCCCTGCTTTGTGGTTTTTGTGTTTTTTGTGCTTAAAAGCCCTGTGCTTTCACTGCTAGGGTTCACAGTATAGCTCCCGAGACTGTCTGTGTCCCCAGCCGGTTGGCCTCAATGAAGCACTTCTTTTACTGAGACTCAGTGTCCGAGTGGTCAATTCAGAGAATTCTTCGGCCCCTGAACAATCAAGGCCAGCCTGGTCTATATAGTAAGTTCCAGGCTAACTGGAGCTACAGGGAGACCCTATCTCAAAACAAAACAAACCCTAAATAAATAAATAAATAAATAAATACATTAATTAATTAATTAATTAATTAATTAATTATAAGTAGATACTTAAAAATCATGTTATTGGTTTAAAATTTCCCAAGTCACTCATTTTTTTTTTTACTTTTATGCAGTTCTCAGGATGAGACCTAGGGACTCATACATACTGAGCAAGCACTTTGCTACTGAGCTACACCCTCAGCTCTGTGACAGGAGTTCTTTTATTGCAAAGGTAGGAGTTTCTCTATAGGTTCGAGTTAGTGTTTACTCTTTGGAGTCAGAATGACTGTATTACATGGTAAGGCAGACTTGTAGGAAACTAAGAGTTAGAGACATTGTAAAGTAAGAGAGAAGGATGTGAAGATACTTTTTTTTTCCTGTATAGATTAACGTTAGGGATTCCTTTCAAAGCTAGAAGAGTGGTTTTCTGTAGTTGGTCAGGGCAGAGGATTACAACATAATAGGCCAGGTGTTTCTGTATGGGATTGAAGCTAAGTTCCTGGAGGCAGATGGATCATGAAATCCTATTACGAGGTAAGCCAGGGGTTCTCACACAGGTTCCCTGTATAGATGTATGGCAATTCAGATTGTGAGCTACTGTTTTGGTTTTAGGTTTTTAAAAAAGTTTTATATGACTGTGCTTCTTCTGCTCCAGGCTCAAGCCCAGGTCATGAAGACATGGCTAAATGTACCAAGAAGGTTGGGATCATGGGTAAATATGGGACCCACTATGGAGCCTCCCTCTGGAAAATGGTGAAGAAAATTGAAATCAGCCAGCATGCCAAGTATACTTGCTCCTTCTGTGGCAAGACCAAGATGAAGAGATGGGCTGTTGGCATCTGGCACTGTGGTTTCTGCATGAAAACAGTGGCTGGTAGAGCCTGGACCTACAGCACCACCTCCGCTGTCATGGTCAAGTCTGCCATCAGAAGACTGAAGGAACTGAAAGACCAACAGAAGCACTGCCATTTGGGACATCCCCAGCCTGCAATAAATGGGTTAATTTATGTGACAAAAATAATCTTATGTATGTGAGTGTATGTATGTAAGTGCACCACATGCATGCAGTGTCCACAGAGGCCAGAAGAGGGTGTCTGGGTATGGGGGGGTCTTCCGCAAGAACAGCCAGGGCTCTTAACCACTGAGCCATGAGCTATCCCTTCAGGACCCTGGTTTGGGTTTTTTATTATTATTATTATTTGTCTTCTTTTTATGTCTTTTTGAGACAGGGCCTCCCTGTAGCCCTAGCTGGCCTGGAACTCACTATGTAGACCAGACTGGCCTCGAACTCACAGAGATCCGCCTGCCTCTGCCTCCCAAGTGCTGGGACTAAAGGTCTGCGCCACCACACCCAGCCCTTGGGTTTTTTTAAAAAAATGTTTTATTATTTTTGTTTTATGTGTATGAGTATTTTACCTGCATGTGTGTAAGTGCATCTGTGTCATGCAGTGTCCGTGGAGGTGAGAAGAACCTATTGGATTCCCTGAAACTAGAGTTACAGAAGGTTATTAGCTATCACGTTGTAGGACCCCCAGGCTGGGGTAGCCAATGTCCACAGGAGGCCGCACCCCAATAACTCAGTCCTCAGACCAGGAGATGCAACAAGCAAGAGGATTTAATCGTTTGCGCAGACGGGCCCCTGCCTCACTCAGAGAGAGAGAGAGAGCAGCAGCCCCGAGCTCAGCTTACAGGTGACTTTTAAAGGCAAAAACCACAAACTACAACCGGCAGCAGTGGAGCAGTGGGAGGGGGCCGGCAGCAGTAGGAGAGGGGAAGTTTTGGGTGATGTCCGGCTTGTGTACGGAGCATGAAAAGGTCAGCTCTTTCTCAGCAGTTAGAATTATTTTACTTCTTACTTCCTTGTTCTGAATATTCTTCTTTGGTCTGGGGGACTTGGTTTGAATCCACTTTAACCTGGGGGGCTTTAGTTTGATTCCATCAATGTGAATACTGGGAATTGAATCTGAGTCTTCTGCAAGAGCGGTCAGTGTGCTTAACTACTGAGCCATCTCTCCAGCCCTGGGTTTTTATTTTTTTGGTGTGTATGTATATGTATACATATGTGTGTGTGTGTGTGTGTGTGTGTGTGTGTGTGTGTGTATTTCTGTGGTTGGGGGTATGTTAATGTACAGCAGTGTGTAAAGTTCAGAGCACAACTTCAGGTGTCATTCCTCAGGCGCTATCAGATTTTATCTTTTATTTATTTACTTATTTATTCATTTATTTATTTATTTGTCTTTTTGAGACAGGGTCTCCCTGTAGCCCCAGCTGGCCTAGAACTCACTATGTAGACCAGGCTGGCCTTGAACTCACAGAGCTCTACCTGCCTCTGCCTCCCGAGTGCTGGGATTAAAAGCATGTGCTACCACACCCGGCTATTTTATTATTATTATTTTTTATTTATTTATTTTTTGTCTTTTTGAGACAGGGTTTCCTTGTAGCTCCAGCTGTCCCAGAACTCACTATGTAGACCAGGCTGGCCTCGAATTCACAAAGATCTGCCTGCCTCTGCCTCCTAAATGCTGGGATTAAAGGCGTGCACCACCCAGCCCTATTTTATTATTTTTTAATATTTTATTTATTATTTTCAAATTATATGTATGAGTGTAGTGCCTGCATGTAGGTAAGTGCATCTGTGTTGTGCAATGCCCTGGGAGGACAGAAGAGACTGTCGGATCCCCTGGAACTGGAGTTATGGACAGTTCTTAGCTGCCATGTGGGTGCTGGGATTCGAACCCGTGTCTTCTGCAAGAACAGTCAGTGTTCTTAACCACTGAGCATCTCTCCAGCCCCAAATTTTATTTTTTTGAGAATCTTTGCCCTAGAATTCTCCTAGTAGGTTAAGCTGGCTTGCCAGCAAGCCCCAGGGATTTGTCTGTCTCCATCTCTCCAGGACTGGATTTACAAGTGTGTAGTCTCACAATGGCTTGTTTTACATGGGTTCTGAGTAACAAACTGAGGTCCTGGTGTTTGTAAGGTAAGCACTTTACTGCCTGAGCTATTTCAGCTCCTCCCTCCATTCCTCCCCCTCCTCTCTCTTTCAATTTTCCTTTCTTTCCTCACCAAGTTGCCCAGGCTAGTTTTAAACTCCTGGCCTCAAGGGATCCTTCTTCCTCAGCCCCCTGAATAGCTAGGACATGGGCTAGGGATATAGCTTAGTATACAATTTACCTAGCAAACAAAGGAAGGGAGGGAGGGAGGGAAGGAGGGAGGGAGGAAGGAAAGGAGGAGGGAAGGCCATTCTATGGCTGGTTGGGAATGTAGTACAACAGTAGAGTGTTTTGCCTAGTACATTTGAGATCCTGAGTTGAATCCCTGGTGCTGTAAACAATAATAACAAAAAACAGTAGTCAGATAGTGTGGACTACAAGTGTGTACCATATGCCCAGAAGGGA